CTGAAAAACACAGTAGGAAGGAAAGAAGGTTACACAACAATTTAATGACTTGGTTAAACTACTTACAGATAACAAATTTGTATTTAGTCTAGGTACATGAAGGGCAGAAGATAGGAGCAAGGAATCTGTAGCCTTGACGGTTCCCTTGCCAGAAATAGAGACAAGAGAACCATCGGCTAAGGTGATTTTATCACGTCCAGGAAGCAAATCATATGAAACGAACAAAGTAGAAACGTTGGTCATATGATCAGAAGCACCTGAGTCGATAATCCAAGGGATCTTAAGATTACCTGAAGTGGTTGCATGATTAGCAGAAGCCCTTATACCTGAATGAGCAAATGCAGAAGGAGCTGAATTTCCTGAAGGGTTGGAAGAAGAAGTTACACCCTCGAGATGACTGATCATCTTCCCAAACTTTTCATACTCTGCTTTCATGGCTGCCAACTGTGCATTGGCTAATCTGTGGCTGCATTGAGTTCACAAGCCACCCAATAACAGTGTAATTCTCTTGCATCCACTTCTCATAGGATGGATCATCCTCTGGGGGAGCCTTCTTGCTCCCGAAGATAAACCCCCACTTTCCTCTACTACATATATAAATCTTTACCGATTGTGACCATGCCAGATAGTTGGTTCCATCCAGCTTAATTGTGGTCATAGTCAATAAGGAATCAACTGGAGTTCCCTGAACTTGTCCAAATTCAACAACATTCTTACTCTCAATCTCTCAGGAGTCCATCATGTAAACACTTCAAATAGGGATTCAGTCAACTTCTACTAGTGTACTGAATGAGGATGAGCTAGGACTGTGTTAAATCAGCCTCAAACACAGCAATACACAAGGCCAAACCACACCTGGAAGTTGTGAGAACCAAGCCTGGCAGCAGCACCTTGTTGTCTACATGAGACACTAAATGGCTTGGTTCAGCCTTTAAGAAGTAATCAACAGACCTCCAAGCACTGTGCACCCAATTTAAGTACCTTTTCTAATCAGGGATTCTAGATACTCACCAACAAGTGCCCTAAAAAGAGCAAAAAAACAGTCCGTATTGATTAAGGGGCCTTTTTACGAATACTGTGTGGGCAGCAGAGAAGACCCCACTGTCAACAAGTGAGAAACACCTCAGGAGCAGTCCGTACAAGTCCAAAAAACAACCAAACAGAAGCAAGAACTCGCACCACTGAATCCAAAGAGGTTTCGGCAGCTTGACAGTCCAAAAAAGGGAGAAAACCAACCCAAAAATCTCTGGGTTAAACCAGATTAACCACAGCCGAACAGCTGTATAGTTTCAAGGGAACTTCGAACACTTCAACAGTCTCCAAAACAGAAACATAACTCAGGAATAACTGAGTGCAACTTACAATCTCATCAATCTGTGATTTGAGCTCCAAATCAGGAACCGAACAATCCTTTTCTCTGATTCTTCCTGGTCACCGAACCACTCTCCAAGAGATTAGAGTCTTGGGCACCCTCCAATGACCTCCAAGAATCAGGAGAACAAGCTGAAGCTTCTAGCCCTAGAACACCCTCATGCAGTCGGCTGGACTACACCCACATGAGAGCCAAGCCAAGTTCAGGCCTGCTCTGATACCAAGAAGAAAATCAGTCCTTGAGAGTATGGAACTGTTTAGGATAGATGTAGAAATCAAAAGGAATAAAAAACTGCAGAGAAGATTGCTTCTATTGAGTAGAAGATGAAGAGGGAGAAGGCAGCAAAGAGGGTTAGAGTATGAGAGGTTTGAACTTCACTCTCCCCCTAACACCCTAACACTATTTCATTAAGTTAGTTTTGAATAATTACAAGGGGAGGCCCTTAGTTGGGCAAGAAATTACAAGAACATAACATAGAAGAGGATGGGCCCAGAATAAGGCCCATTACAGAAAGGAACATAAACAGTAAGAAAGAATAACAGCCTATGGGCCATTCGGCCCATCTTCTCTACAATGTTATATTGTGACAACCAAGCTACAATCGATATTGCCCACAATCCAATTCAGCATTACAGGACAAAACACATTGAAGTTGATAGGCACTTCATAAGAGAAAGGGTAACAACCGGAGAAGTTTTCTTGCCGTACCCCTCTTTAGAATTGCAGTTGGCTGTTGTCCTCACTAAGGAGTTGCAAAGAACAAGATTGAACATGATCTACGCAAGTCGGGAATGTGTGACATATACTCCTAACTTGACGGGAAGTGTTGAGGATTTAATCAGTTTTGTGCAGATTTAGCAATAATCTTTTATATGTTTATTGTTTAGATAGGAAGTGGGGACCACAACACTCTTGTTAGGCCCTTTGTTGATTGTCTTTTAAGTGTTTTATGCTGTTTTAGATGCTTGCCACCCTATAAGGGCATATTTGTCATTGTACTCCAATTTATATTTTTAATATAAATACTAGTGAAGGGGGCGGCCAGATTATGAGCTCTCTTTCTCTCTCAAACCTCTTCCTCTTCTTCTTCTTCTCTCTTCTCTTCTTCAAGAAAACATCTTTTCTTTTACAGATTTTTTAATTCAGCAAGATTTCTACTGTAACATCCTTTCCTTTGATAACTCAGCTTTAGAATTATCCATGGCTGAATAGTCCATTACATGCGTCACCTTGCATCGGGCACCTCCTGTTCTTTGTCTTTTGGAAATTCTGGAATATTTGGAAGGCACCGTAGCGTCCTATGCAAAGGATCATAAATCCCACTTGGAAAACCTGTTTTTTGTTCAATCCTTCATCAGAAAACCAATTAATTGCATGTCTGTGGAGATAGAGGGACTACTGTTTCCAATTTCCTGAGTTGATTCATGTGTGGGCCTCTTGAACAATGATGTTCTATTTGCCACTAGGACTAAAGGCCTAACCAATTCCACCCTGTTTTGACAGCTATGTTTAAGTAGTTCGAACCAGTAGAGAGTAAGGGAGAAAGAAGAAGAAGAAGGAAGAAGAACAGTCGAATATGATAGCTAAACCCTATCAGTCGACCATAATGTAGATTAGTCTCTTATTAGTTGTACAAAGACTAAACTGCCCCCACTTAAGTATGGGACAGGAAGTTTCTATTAGAACTGCCACATAAGCACATAACTTAACTAAATAAAATGACTAATCTACCCTTATTTGGCTAGCTCTAACACTCCCCCTCAAGCTAGAGAATATATGTCATATAATCCCAGCTTGTTACATATATAGTTCACTCTCCCTGAGCTTAAGCCTTTTGTAAACAAATCTGCCCATTGAT